TAACTCTGACTTCCACAAATACGTCGCCGGCTACAGGCTACTGATCCTCGGCGGCGGCGGCACCGCCACCTAATGCTACTTCTCCCCGCCGACGCACTCCACTGCCTGTTCTGGTGCTATGGTTGGCTACCGCCTCTCTTTCCTAGACCTCATCGTTCCCACCCTGCCGCCTCCCAAATTCAAATTTTCGTCACCCAAATGCGCGCGCCTGGTCGAACTGTCTAGAAACCACCCTTTCAGCCCAATATAAATACAAGTGAGCAGGCAGATGAGACTCACACTGCTCGAACTACATCCCAAGAAGCAACACGGTGGTCAAGCTCTCATATCTTCAAATCGACAGATTGTGAGGAGGTCGATTTACTACCCATCGCCTTCTAATTTGCTTCGCCAAGGACCAAGGTATGTTGTGTTATGCAATACCAAGATTTAGTAATGATTGCAATAGATGAGTATCTGCACATACTACTATTAGATGATGATGCCTCTTTTATTTGTGAAGTTAACATCAAAACAAGAATTTGCAGATCACTGTATGGTTGTATAACATGTTTTTTATTTGTTATTTTAAGTTTTTATGCATACTGATCGTTGGGGCTTTGACCTCCAAGTTGGTCAGTTTCCTATTAAAAGAATTAAAAGATCTGCATCTTAGTTCTAGGTGGATCAGCTTATTTTATATGAGTCGGTCAGAGAGAAACTGATGTTGCTAGGTTTGTTATATTTCCCTTCATATAAAATCACATGACTTAGTCAGTCATATGTATGCATAGAGATACTCACTTCAGCTCCAACTGTCCTTGGGTTTGGTTTTCACCAACTAAATCACTGAAATTTTTGAAAAAAAATGATTATTTACATGGCAGGTCCAGAAGAAATTTGATAAGCCTAGAAGTTCCTGGAGAAACACTTGGATTTGGGTGTGAAGCTGAAAATTAAAAGGTCAGGACCAAATTCATACTTGATCACCAGAATTCATTGGTTTACTGTTGTATTCTATTATGCTTTGGCTTGTACTTTTTGGCTGCCACACCTCTGCATAACATTTGTTTTTATTCATGTTGCTTACCTGATTATCAAATTCATCCAGTGTGCAATTTCGTATCTAATGATGATGAACTGCCCTTCGGTTAAGGAATGTTTCTTTTGACTTCTGGCAAAGAATAGTTGTCTTATTAGATTGCATATAGTGTTCCTACTAGCTTTCAATTCAATTTTTTCTAACCTCCACTTCTGTTTTTTGGGGGAAACTAGCAGCTATTACACCCGAAATGTTACAGCTCTCGTGCCAACAAAGTGCTAAAGGAAAACAAAAAGGTTGGTTCTTGTACCTTACTGTTTGGCAAAACAATCTGCTTGTATATTTCTTATTTATACCTAACCATTTACCGTCCAACTTGTAATAACACAATGGTCGACAGCAGTAGCAAGCCCAACAGAACTTGCTCCAATGGCATGCCATGTGCTCGAACAGGTTTATTTATACGTGAACCAACGGATGCGACAAATTTAAGTTATCATCTTCAGATGATGAAGTGACAAACCAATCAGCGATGGTGATTTTTCCTACTTATACTGGTATGCTCACATCAATCGACGGATTGGAGCGAGGAGAAAGCTCAAAAGGTAAATCTATAGGGCGGAAGTGTTTGCTTATATAATTCCGTTTACCCACTTAATTAATTTCTCGTGTAAATTCTGTAGGGCGAAAGCGTGCACGTGAAGCAATAAGATATGCTAGCCGTACACCAGAGCAAATCCAAGCAAGGCGAGAACGTGTTAGAGCACGTCGGCAAAATTTGACACCTAAGGAGAAGGAAGAGATTAATGCACGAAGAAGAGAGAAACGACAACGTATGACACTTGAAGAGAGAAATGCAAGCCAGCGAGCATGTAGGCAAAGTTTGACACTAGAGGAGAGGCAAGAAAGAAATGCACGCCAACGAGCGCGTCGGCAAAGCCTGCCACCGGAAGAGCGGCGGGCACTTCTAGCTCAACGTAATGCAAGTTATGCATCTAGACGAGATACCCCATGCATGGATTCCATTGTATCAAATTGCCCTATGGGTTCATTGCTGGGACATGCATCATCAAGCTCTTATGCCTTTAGTTACCCAAGTACACTGACTCAAACTTTTTCTACAATTCAAGGTAATTCTCACATACACATTCCTTTATTTGCCAATTTTGTCAAAGTTGAGCATGCATTTTTACAAAGTCATTGAAATAGCAGGTAATCTAGAAAGCATACCTGAAGGAATGGAAGATGATCACATAGTTTTCACTAGCAAAGGTATGATTGTGGTGCTGATGCCTTCCTTTTCTCAACTACTATAACACACACTACTCAAACTATGTAGTAACTTCATTCCTCAAATTACATTTAGGTGACGCTAATACTGTCCAGTGCAAGGAACTCACATCGGTGCAATGTCCAACATCTACATCAGTGGACAATTCATCATTGGCCCCTGATGACTCCATATGCCCAGGTTCCCCAACGGAAAGCTTTAATGTGGATGATGATTTTTCTCATATGACCGAAGAAGAAGATGATGAGTACTTCGCATTTGCTGGGAGAGGTATTAAAAATTCCATGGATGTCTTATTTCCCTACATATGTATAGCACAGAAAATGCAATACATATATATAACACAATTCATCTCATGTGTGTACAGGGAACACTGAAGATTGCGATGACATGGTAGATGCTTTTACAACAGACAACATTGTTCCTGACCCATATGACTGTGTTTACCAGAATATACCAAAAAGTACTCACACGCTGGTGCCAAAGCCTGATTGCAAGCATTGCGGCGCAAAGAGGTTCCAGTATGAGACAAATGGATTTTGTTGCCAGTCTGGAAAAATTAAGTTAGCACAGTCAGAACCACCCTTGGAACTTCAGATGTTGTACACAAGTTCAGATAGTGATGCTGTACATTTTAGGGATAACATTCGCTACTTCAATGGCCACTTTTCATTCACCACTCTTGGAGTCAGTCTTGACAATAGATACACAAACATGAGGTCAGGAGTCTATACATTCCGAGCCCATGGTCAGATTTACCACAACATCTTCTCATTTGGTCCAACACAAGATGGACCTAAGCATCTAGAGTTATACTTCTACGATGATGACCCGAGTCTACAACATAGGTTTCGGCGCTCCCCGAACCTAGACCGAGATGTCATTCGAAGGCTTGTCAACATCCTTAAGGATAATCCTTATTCTGAAACATTCAGGAATCTAGGTGGAGTCGATGACCTTGAGGATTATCGTATTGAACTGAACACCGACATGAGGTTGGACCAAGGAGATATAACTTGCCTATATCATCAGAGGTTGCAGCTATTTGGGTTGAGGGTAATGAACTATGTAAGCATTTTGACCGTAGCATTGTCCTGTTTGGTAATGACAACAAGAGATATAGCATCCAACCATATTATGGATGCTATGATCCATTGTCTTACCCTTTGTTCTTCCCAAGAGGGGAGATTGGTTGGCATCCTGAGATCCCAAAGAACGGTGTCAGCTTGAATGAGATACTTCAATCCCGCCGCAGTGGTCGAAAGAAACCAGGTACATATAATGAAATTAGCATTTATTCATTTTTTTATTATCCCCAGTGTACTTATTTTCTTAATCAGTTCTTTCTGTTACCTCCCATTTCCGTAGGTACATGTACAAGTAGTCGATTATGTGTCTCGGTCAGAGACTACTATTGTTACAAGTTTCAAATACGTCGTGGTGTATTTAACACCATGCTATACGGTAAACGACTGTTCCAACAATATGTGGTCGACATGTACATCAAGGTTGAAACCTCTAGGTTAGACTATATAAGAAATCACCAGAAACAAATACGCTCTGATCTATACCAAGGTGTTGTTGATAGCCTTCAAGCTGGGGAAAACCGTGCGGATGCTGTGGGCAAATGGATTGTACTTCCTACATCATTTATTGGGGGAAGAAGAGATAGGAGACGAAGATACCTTGATGCCATG